TGACCTCACCACCAATCAACATGACCTCACCACCAATCAACATGACCTCACCACAAGTCAACATGACCTCACCACCAATCAACATGACCTCACCACAAGTCAACATGACATCACCACCAGTCAATATGACCTCACCACCAATCAACATGACCTCACCACCAATCAATATGACCTCACCACCGATCATCGTGACCTCACCACCGATCAACGTGACCTCACCACCGATCAACATGACCTCACCACCAGTCAACATGATCTCACCACCAATCAATATGACCTCACCATCGATCAACATGACCTCACCACCGATCAACATGACCTCACCACCGATCAACGTGACCTCACCACCGATCAACATGACCTCACCACCAGTCAACATGACCTCACCACCAATCAATATGACCTCACCACCGATCATCGTGACCTCACCACCGATCAACGTGACCTCACCACCGATCAACGTGACCACACCACCGATCAACGTGACCTCACCACCAATCAATGTGACCTCACCACCAGTCAACATGACCTCACCACCAAACAACATGACCTCACCACCGATCAATATGACCTCACCACCGATCAGCATGACCCCACCACCAGGTAATACAAAGTCTCCGAAACTCAAAACATCATTACATGATTTTACTAAAACAAATCTTCATGTTTCATAGGTATGAAAATGTTCGCACAAAGTCATATTTCTAAACTTGTACAATTTGGTACCAGTTAATATTTAATATATTTCTAAGAAATGCAACCTCTCTACTAGTAAATGGAACATCAGCTCAACCAGTTATCACAACTGTTTCTCCAGTCACAACTACAGCTGTCCCAGCAGCAGACTCAAGGATAATGCTGGAATTTAGGTTGCAGAAAACCTTTGCACCAGAACTTAGAAACAAGTCCTCACCAGAGTTCAAGCAATTAAAGGACGAAGTGATCACAGCGGTAAGTTTTTATATATTCATTTGATTTTTCTTTTTCATCTTTCCACAATCGTGTTCAAATACAGAATGAAACGTTTAGATGACAGAACATTAAATGACAATGCAGCAGGTTAGCACATACAACATTAATAGGAAGACAGTGATTAATTACTTTTATTCGGACATTAGCAAATATAATTGAAAACACAGCACATATGTGTAATTCATGATATTGTTTATAATCAGTGTTTGAGAAAGAGGTAAGTCGTAGGCATAGCAGAATATAGGTGACTTTTCACATGACCTAAATGTATTTTTGGAAAAAAAACAGCTGGTGTGAGAAACAAATGATCATCATGACAGAGCAGTAGAAATTTAAATTCTTTTGAAAAGTAATAAACAAGTCATTTAGACACAACATTAGATTGGCTAATCTAATGTTTACGGATGGATTTTGCAGCTTTGAAATCAAATGGAAGAATAAACAACCAAAATTACATAATAGTTTTGTTATAGCAATCCTGTCCTATCTTTCGTCCTAATTTTTTTTAGATATTGTTTAACCATTTGTATGTTTCATTTCCCCAGCTTGAACTTATCTTTAGAAAAGTATTTGGAAGACGTTTCCTTCGAGTCTTGATAAGAGCTTTCAGGTATTTGAAATGATTCTTTATCAAACATTTGAGAAAAAAATAATATACAGTATGTCTTATTTAAGCTATAGTTATCTCACAAATCTAAGTGTTTCTTCAAACCTGAGTGGCTGTTTTCCCTGATTAATAATTTTGTCATTGTCATGTCTGCGGTATATTACCATTTCATACTGAGTTGTCACAAATAACAGACAACAATAATTATGATAGCTATCATTTTTCTTACAGACAAGGTTCAGTTGTGGTAGATTCAGAGCTGACCTTTAATAATGCCAGCTCAGTGCCAGAAACTAGTGCTGTGGCAACAGTTCTGGTGGAGGCAGCATCCAACAATTCCAACTTTTCCCTGCCAGTGAATACATCAAGCGTTGTTGCAACAAGTAAGTGTTGTTTTATGTTTTGTTTCGTCATGGTTTATACAGTATGCAGAGCTGCATATTTTACTGCATCCAAAGCTTCTTCAAATGCTACAACTATCTGCATTTTGTTTTTACAGGAATTTCTACATCAACAGCTGCAACTGCTGCTCCCAATGTTACAGTGGCTCCAACTGCAGCTCCCAATGCTACAGTGGCCCCAACTGCTGCTCCTAATGCTACAGTGACCCCAACTGCAGCTCCCAATGTTACTACTGCATCAACAGATCCTCCTACATCCAATGAGGGAACTCTTGGCCTTACATTTAGTCTTAACCAAACATTTACACCCGGCCTCTCCAACCCATCATCAACGGAGTTTCAGACTTTGGCTGCAGAAGTGGTCAGAGAGGTAAGATGTCTTTACATTATGAAAGTCTACTGCAAATACATTGAAATATTATTGTGTAACAATACTCCACGGGCATCATAAGAAAAAGAAGCAAATATTCAACAAATATTGACTAAAAAGCAAGCATTTTAGCCCCAAAAAAATGTTAATCATGTGAGCATCAGGAGAAAAACAAGTTTATCTTACATTAAAGTTAAAACCACTGAAACATTAAAATATTCTGCAAATTTTGGTTTTTGGAAATGAATCAAAATGCCCCCTAAATAAACTCAAGTTTCTAACATTATTGTGCTGATCTTAATTAAATATTTGTCCACATAATTGTAATTGTAAAGCAGCAATAACTAAAACATTTTATTCCTTCATTTGCTCAATATTTGTCTAGTATGACTTCTGTAATCTTGTAAACATATTATGTATACAGAAGACAAAAAAGGTACAGCAGCCTCAAAATCAAACATTGCATTTCTTGTGAGCCATTACACTGCAAATGACCGTTGTGTTGTCTTTCAGCTAAACACAGTGTGTACAAATCTGTTTGGATCATCTTTCCTTCGCTCCATTGTTAACAAATTCACGTAAGACTAAATATCAATCACTGGCTAATTTTTCTGGACATTTACCAGTCACTTGCTTTTAAACAGTGCTGCTGTGTCTCTTTGTCATTAAAGGAGTGGATCAGTGGTTGCCGCCACCACCCTTGTGTTCACAAACAGGAGCTCAGTTCCTTCACCAAGCACTGCAACTTCACAACTCAGCAGTGCACTTACGAACTCTACCGCCCTGAACATTTTATCAGGCAGTGTTAATGCAAGTAAGTGATTGGAGTGTTTAAGAATCAAACTTAATCTATTGATCAATCTATTTAAATTACATGCATGCTACAGTGTCATATTCATTGATAACCCTTTGGTTTTGGTACAGCTTCTTCTGCTACTACCACCGCTGCACCTACTGTTACAACTGCCCTGACCGGAGCCCCTAATGCTACAGATGCTCCAACTGCTGCTCCCAATGTTACAGTGGCTCCAACTGCTGCTCCCAATGTTACAGTGGCTCCAACTGCTGCTCCCAATGTTACAGTGGCTCCAACTGCAGCTCCAACTGCTGCTCCAACTACGTCAACCACCACTGCATCAACAGATCCTCCTACATCCAGTGAGGGAACCCTTGGCCTTGAGTTTCGTCTCGACCGAGCATTTACATCTGACCTCTCCAAACCATCATCAACGGCGTTTCGGACTTTGGCTGCAGAAGTCCTCAGAGAGGTTAGATTTCTTTGCCTTATACTAGTGTACTGCAAATTAACTGAGATCTTATTTTGTTACAATACTATTCCATGGACATCATAAGAAACAGAAGCGTCTTCTAAATATAACTGCAAATAATGTATTTTTTTAAATAATTCTCAATGTGCACACTGACTATAGGAACACACATGTTGCTAACATTTTTGCACTGATTAATCATTCAGTCTGTCCCTATAATTCTCACATGGAAACAATTACATCTGTTATCCTTGAAATTCCTTTTTTGCTTAATATGCCTTATATTTTGGTTATTGAGTCAACCCTTTTTTGATCTTGACAGCAAATAAAGATAATGAAGGAATTAATACATAATAATTGTACAGCAGTTTTAGCAGGGGATATCTTTTTCCTTTGAAGTACCAAAGGGAGTTTATTTTTAATCTGACACTGCAGAAATAATAATGCGACGAAGTCAATGTTGTTGCTAATGAGGGGTGTCAACAGTTAACCACTGAGGACATTTTTAACTGGCTACACACGTTTGGTCTATAGATTTACAGTCTGCATAGTAATTTAACATGGGCGCAGAAAGAAGCTTCGGCACTGATCGAACTGTTCGAACAATCGAACTGTTCTCACAGGACGCACAGCGCGAGCTCCGCAGTGCCGGGCCCAGTGTATGTGCGATACAGCACACACATCCACAGAATTCATGCTTCATCTGATCAATTCTCATGATAGGCCTTTATAAATTTCACCGATCAAACTATTTAGAACAGATTTTAGCTGATAATGATCAGTGGCCAATTGACCAGAACACACATGACCCGATCAAAATGTGGCAACACACTTCAGCAAAGAATAAACAAAACATACAAACTTGGATGGATTTAGCGATTTGAAACGCGGCGCCGAAAGGAAAGAAAAGCACCTCTTGTATGTAAACTCATTCTGCATTTTTTTTCTTATTAATTAACCGGTTTGGGCTATCAAATGCAATATCAACTGAAACTGATATGCCTATTGCTAAACATTGACATATCCTGGACAGTGAAATGAGTAGAAAAGTAATTCTTCCTCGCAGATAATATACAGAACATTGTTCATTTTGTGTTATTTTTTTCATAAAAAACAACAGTAAATATGATCAGGACTGATGTTGGTGTAAAGGTTTAACTCACTGAAAGAGGAAAATAATATTAATTATTTTTTTGTGTTTTATGGCAGTTTTTTTGAAGCAGATATTTTTGTCCTCTAACAACACCAGAGCAAGCAACACCAAACATAATCTTTGAGAAAATATCAAATTTGTCCTACTATTTTTAATTGGGATAATGTTAATTCATGAAAGTCTGTACTAAAATGATGCAAGAGCTTTGTAGCTCATAGAGCTGTTGCTGCATCTGAATACAGTATGCACGAGCCATGTTTTAAGAATTCAACATCAAAATTTCTATAAATTACACAGTGATTATCGCATTATATTGGAAGGTGTTTCTTTTTCTTTTCTCCCTTGCTGCAAGTTAGACACGTCCCCAAAATGAGTTTGTGTCAAATCCCAGTTCAGCTCACTCGCCATTGTCTTCAAACCTTAGCAACATCCCTGATTTACAGGGCAATCAGGGAACTTGTGCATTGTAGACATTTTTGTATTTTTGAATTGCAAATGACCGTAATGTTGTCTTTCAGGTTAACAGAGTGGCTAACACTCTCTATGGATCATCCTTCAGGCGTAGCATTGTAAACCGCTTCACGTAAGATTAATTTTGATCAATAACCAACTTCTCCCACACATTTGCTGTTTACTTTGTTTTAAAAAGTGTTGATTTACCTCTTTGTCACTGTAGGAGTGGATCAGTGAGAACCAACATGACCCTTGTGTTTCAAGATAGAAATTCAGTTCCTTCAGCAGGCGTTGCAACTTCACAATTAAGCAGTGCACTCAGCGGCACCACCCTGAACATTATACAAGGCAGCGTTTCTGCACGTAAGTTATTGGTGACTTAAACTTATTATTTGTTCATTTTTAAATATAAAAGTACGATGCAGCTTCCTTTTTAGCCTATATTTTTGAACTTTGAACTAAAGTATTTTAGTTAATTACTTTCTGTCCAGATATTTTCACTGACAACTTAATCTAACAATCACTACAATCTTTGCTTTTTCTTATATTTCAGAGTCAACATCAACATCAACATCAAGCAGTCCTCCTCAGTCCACAATGGGCTCACTGGCTGTCTTTTCATTAACACTGCTGGCTGTAGCACAGATGCTGATAGACTTTTAACCCAAACCCAAGGTAGATGCACTGAAATTGCCAATATTTCATGCTATCAAGTTTGAGTAAAAAATAAATGTACCATCGAACTAAAATCAAAAGACATAACAAGTGTGCATAATGAAATTTATCAATACAATGTATTTTGGTAAAAAGATGTGTACTGTGTCAAAGATTGAGACAGTTTTTCAGTATTTTCCACATTTTATGTTCCAATCGCTTGTGTTTCAATTAAATTGTATTTAAATAACTTACCATTGATTACCATAAAGATTGTGAGTAATCAAAAATACTTAATATGATACTTTTTTGGCCATTTTTGTGGCAGATGTCATACAACGTGTTTGTTTTGGCAATGCTTCTTTATATGCAATTTTTCATGTGACATTGTTAACATAGTTAAAACATGCAAATACATATAGGAAAATGTACAACATTTTTATTTCCCATTAAAGCATTGTACGATTTAGCAGGACACAATTTACATCCAATGCCATTGTGAAGTGCAAATGAAGGAAGAAGTGTGCAGTTAATGTAGTGTGATGCCAAAAGCTAGGGGTGTAGAACTAATGTTGATGCTGAAGACCAATAACTTATATTACTTGTGAGACCAATCATTATAAAGATGATCTTTCTCCAACCATAACCATGCAGTTTAAGGTAGCTTACTTTAACAACACCACAGTTGCCATATGAGAATGTTGTAGTAAAGAAAATGTCATTGAACATTGAAATAAGTTGTCATTAAGCACTATGTTGGGATTGCAGAACCATCCAGTATCAAGTTAATAGTATGACAAGTGGATTGGTAGATGCAAGTTTAAAAGTGTCCTGCTATTAATCTAACATTTAGAAAGATGATTGATTGTAATTGCTTAACTCTTCAAATTAAACACTGGTTCTTCCTGTATGTTTTCAAGAAGGGGAATAATAAATATGTGTATCTTTGTTAATTTAAAATTATTAAAATTTTACCTTTCCAATGACCTTGTTGGTTTTCAAATTTTTCTTTTTGACTCTCTTTTAGTATTAAAAGAAAATATTTCATTATGATTGGTTGGCAGAATGACAGCTTTGAACATTTAGAATTAGTGCTGTTATAGATTACATATCTGTTATGTGATGACTGAATCTAATCATTTCCAACTTTTTTCTGTATTTATAACTGTCAACAACAACAACAATATTTATGATGATTGCCAAGACGTACAGAACACTGTAATAAAATATGCTTCTCTATACACGTTCAGTGAATCACAATCCATCTACATCGTCTGTTGTAGGTGAATGTATCTGTAATGAAGATAGAATATTTTTTATTATTCCAACTGCTTATTGCCTAAAAGTCAATTTTGAGTGACAAGACGTGATCGACTACTCCTGAACGTGACTGAGCACAGCCATGTGACTGAACGCCTCTAAGTCAGAATCCCGCCTAGACGTAACGATAGTTGGTGAAATGATAATTGTGTTTCCTAAGAATTGATGCATGAGAAACCATGGCAACCAAAGAACATACAACCAAAGGCAAACAATTATAATAATTATCATGTTGAAGAAAATCCTCACATAACTTGTTTTGTTGACACTTGGTTTCATAAGCACATTCATAGGAAGTGACAAAGGTGTGCCAGACAAATTATAATTATAATTATATACAAAACATTTCCCATACATGTATGTTCTGCCAAAAGGTTATCTTGATCCAGACGAGGACAATAGAGCATGACATAATGAGGAGACCAGATGTTCTGTTTTTGTGGTTCAATCGACGGATTTGATTGGTGGAAAATGACATAAGGGGCTGACTTTAGACTATAAGACTAAGCTGTAAGAAGTAATACTTTGGATTTGTTATGAATTGCCATTGTGTGCATTACACAGTCCCGCTGGTTGCTACTCCAAGAACTATGTATCTTCTCTTAATTTCAGCCACAACATAATGGTGGTGCTTTTGCCACAACAATCAGAATCAGAATCAGAATCAGCTTTATTGGCCATGTATGCTTATGCATACATGGAATTTGTCTCCGGTTTCCACTCCACTCACACCAGTTGTAACATCAAATCGGGACAGGGCCATAAATTGGGTGGGCCAATGGCCCATTCCCAACTTCCTACCCCACTACTTACGGTACCTTTGTTCAGACGACAGCAGTCTTTCAAACTCAGCCTTTATTTGGATCTCAACAGACAGACAGACAGTACTCAAAACTGCCTCTGGGGTAGTTCCCGCTTCAATAGGCATCTCCAGGAATACATTTTGCCATGATGACACACACACACACAGGAGAGGCAGGGCCCCCTTGGTAGAGGCCTCCACCCTAGCTCCACCAGAACTAGGGTTACAATATTGTAACCTTTGTTCTAAATAACCCAGGTTCCGCCCTCTACTGGAATCTGTGGGTACAGTGGCTGGAGCCAGATGAATGCATGCCCTGCCGCGACAAAACATTGACCGAAAGACAAGCGGCAGGTGCAACACAACCGAAGCACACCGCCCTTTTTTCCAGTCCTGTATCGTTCCAGCGAGCATAGACCCTGAAAAGGAGCCTGACATGTCAAAGAGATAGAAAAGTATGAATGAACAATATATTGATCACATTGCTGTATAACATATCCTCAAAACTCACCCCACTGAACAAGGACGCTGACATTGCCATGCTGCGTGTAGAGTGTGAGCACTCCACAGTAGAAGGGTCTCTTCCTGCCTGCCTATAGATTTGGGAGATGCACTCACAAAACCATCCTGCCAGGCATTTCTTGGATAGGGCTTTCCTAGCCACTCCATCCCCAAAGCACATGAACAACTGTTCAGTATGTCTGATGGGGGCCATGCAGTCAATATTTGCTGGGCAACAACTTTTCCCAGTAACAGGCAATGGGGGATCCCACTGTTGCTACCTGGATGGTCTGTAACACATTTACTAACAAGAGCACCATAATAACATTCTTGGGCTACAAATAGAATACACTAATAACATACTCATCAGAGTTAGGACTGTACTCATTTTCTGGAACACGATATGTGTATGTTGTATGTCAAAATGCTTTCATGGCTGACTGTGTGAGTATCAACTAGCGTCACACATGGAAGCGGTGTTTTATTAATCTAAACAAAAGACCACATCATGAGTGTAGTTTGTGCATAAGTGATATTATTAATACAGAATGTAAAATCCAGTTGTTGCTATTAACAACAACTTGTCATCTTCCCATACAGTACATGCAATAGGAATGACACACCATAAGAGGGCTGCATTGCCCCAAAGCTCATTCAAACCTGGTATTGTATGTAAAGCTTTCATCCCTAAAATGTTTTATTTACAGTTTTGTTTGCTGTTAGTCAAGGTCACATAGCTCTCACATCACCCCTGGCCTCTTGATATGAGTTGTGATTCTGATTCTGATTTATTTCTTTGTGTTACCCTGCTTAAACCCCCCAAAATCTGAAAAAGTAAGAAATTACTGTTATTCCATTTATTCTCTTCTTTATTTTGTCCACTCAGTGAATGAAGACACATGAACTCCACAAACCATTTCCTTCCACCCTATGCTCCGACCCAAAATTAATTGAGTGTATCTCTGCAACAAGGTATATTTGGATAATATTGTTATCATTGTAGTGGCTATTCGAAAAAATACAACAACAAAAAAACCTACATCAAAAGGCCACTGATGCACCATTTTAGTCGGTTTGTAACTCAGACAAGAAGTTTAATGTCTGGTCGTGATTTCCAGTTTAGGTGGATTTTATTGTATTGATCAAAAGCAAATATTTCTCATGCGGTCTCTCTTCCTCTGCTCTCTTGCTCTGGTAAAAAAACATGTCCCTTCCTGGTGCATCACCTGACACTGACACACCTCCTACCCATTCACCTATAAGTGTCCGGCCTGGTGCTCAGTAGTGTCAAAAAAAATAAATACGATAATGACAAATAACAAAATAATCAAACTAATGAAATAGCTCCAACAATCATAAGAAAGGGGACATTCTATTTTAAGTGTCGGTGTATATGTTATCCTCCAGATGGAGACAGAGGAAGGCAGTCTGCAATTTATCCTCCATACCACACAATGAATAGACACAACTGGAATCGACTCAAAAATGATTCTGAGACAGTAGCCGGTAGCAGCATTGATATGTCCTTGAACACAACGTTTGATAACAAAACAGCAAAAGTAAGTCAGTATCTATGGTTATTGCTGTATAAAGAGAAATATGTTTTTTCTCTTCTTTGGGTGCTAGTTCAGTGAGTTTTGATCGAGTGATCTTATCGCATTTACACAGTTGGAATCTGTGGAGGCTTTCTTTATGACATACAGTTTGCGGGTAGCATGAAGTAGCAAAATTGCACATTTTACGATATTTTATCGGCCACCGTGGTTCTCCTAGAAGCTTGAGGCACTAAAGAAGTTTCAACTGGCTGCAATCTGCAACGTCACCACTGGATGACGCCAAATCCTTCACACTACATTTTAAGACGGGTAATCACAGACAATGTGTAAGTGTATGGTAACTAAGCTTAATTAAGTTGAGGAAAGGAAACAAATGGAATTTACTCCACATTACCTAAAAAACAACGAAAACCTTTTCTTTAAAACAGTCAGAAATTGTCTACCTTCCACCTGGATTATGTTCACCAGCAAGATTTTGCAGCTTTTCAGATTTGTTTGTTAAAAACCTATCCCATTATGTTAATTCAACACATTTTCAACAAATCAAACATTTTATGAAGACAGGGTAGTCCAGAATATTATAATGCAATTTTGAAGCATCATGAGGTACAGTGGTATTATTCATCAGTATTACACTGTTGACAACGAAATGTTTAATCACATTAGATAGGTCACTTTATTTACCGCTTACCCCGGGAATCAACCTCTGCTCACTCCTCTTTCAGAAACAAAGGAACAGATGTGCAGCCAGTCTATCCTGTCTGTTAGGCACACTTGCATTACACATATGAATGACTGGTCTGACAAAAAAAACAATCTGAGCCAATCTGCCTTTTATTGCACCCTTCATTAAAAATCCCCACATGTTTAATTAGAACACATCCGCCACACTTGAGATATGTCTGTGACTGGCTGAGGCCCAAGGTATTCAAGCTTGGCAGGATTGGTTGCGCTCTACTGCTCACTGAAACACATGAAAGGGATGATGAGAGCCGTTTTAAGGGCATGAAGAAAGTGAAGTTGCACTTGTAAGTATAATAATAATAATATATCCATCATATGTATTTAAAACAGAAAATGGTGATGTTGTAAATCTTCTATTTTTATTTAGTGTTATTATTTAGTTTTTGTTCTCCAATTTAATAATGAATTGTATTATACAAAACATTAAGCCAAAACAAAAAATACACAACATTTTTAAAATCATTTCTATTTGGGATAGACACAGCACTTCAGTGACCTCTGTCCATTTGACTCATTACAAATGACTCGTGCCTGGTGAAGTTATTACAGCTCCTAAAGGAGACATGAATGTCTGAATCAAATGTCATGGCAATCCATCCCAGTTGTTTCGACTTTTTACTTTAAGAAATATATATATCCACTTGCTGGCGGCACTTCAGGGGAGGGATCACCAAAGTCAGTTGGATACACCTCTGGGACTGTCAATGTACAAAAATTGCATGACATATAGTTTATATATAGTATATATATATATACATATACTATTTCTGTATGGACCAAAGTGGGGGTAGAATGACTGACATTGCCATCCCTAGACCCACATTGTATAATATGGCTAAAAAAAACAAAGTATTTTGACAGACAGCAAAAACATTCAAGATGTGCACTGATGTCTCTGGAGAATATCAATTGTTTCTTTTGCTGTAAAGTACATAGTGTATTCTCAGGCGGAGCAATACAGTTCATGGATCTATCAATGGTTTCAATGACAGGGTCATGTTCTTACATCGGTTTGGTGTCAAATATAGTTTCCTGTCTTTTTAGTGTTGGGAATAACATCATTTTTCCACGCTCTGCTATACAAATGTATACCTTCCAAAGTGATACACAGATACAAATACTGGTCTGCCCCTATTCAACATATCACGATAAGAATTGAATTGACAGTCATTTGATTTGAGTTGGCAGGGGAGTTGGCAACAGACTGTATTTTGTGACTGTGATTGTTGTTGCATGCATTCATTACAGCCCACTTCCCAGCCCATCCCTCTCATCTCTGTGTAAAAGGTGCAGTATGTTGCAGACAAGAGGACAGATGAACGTCTCTCTGCTTTACAGGTGAGTGTCATTTTTTACACAGTTTTCTGGTAGTGCATGATGTGAAGTTTTCCAATAAACAACCCTTTGTATTTAATCTTGATTTGAAAAACGTTTTAAATGCTAACTTCTATAACTAAACTAATTCTTAGTAACTGAGCTGTTCTCTGTAGAATCAGATGGAAGAATCCTGTTGACAGTCCTACATTCATACTAATAGTATTCTATCTTCCTGTATTGCTGCATTGCAAAAGATGTAACCACCTATTATCCATGACAAAACTAAGAGATGGCCATTATCTTTTCATTAAATATGTTACGGTATTGTCATTATTACCAGGCAACTTTTATTATTAACTAATAACTAATTACTAATTATTGTCTACTGGCAGTGTAAATCAATTGACAATAAGAACATTATTTCATGGTTAATGAGCAAAAAGAGGTATTGTACCACAATAACAGATTCTAATACAGCTGTATTATTGTTGCAGACGGAACAGGCAAAGTAAAGGACATGTTCACATGCTTTTATTAAATAAATGATTAGTATGCCAACAGCCTTTATATAAGATACACAGATAGACAGCCAGGTTAGTTGAAAATACAGAAGTCTAAAGTTCTGTCAATTTTAAAAGTGCAATGTGTAGAGAGAGAGAGAGAGAGAGAGAGAGAGAGAGAGAGAGAGAGAGAGAAGAGAGATTCCCCTCAAACAAGTCTACAAGCCCTGCAAAATCTATATTCACTCAGCATCACTTTCCCATCACCACTGCACTGTCCCTGTAGTGTTCATACAATGTATTCTTATTATAGTCTTCATAGTCATATGTACTCTGTTGTGTGATATACTGTAATGTGCAATGTATGAATCCAGAGGAGCAAAACACGTAATTGCTCCAGAAGCAAACACACCTGTGAAATAAAATAAATGACCAATATTCTCAAAGACTTCCAATAATGTATGAGATGCATGTAACAGACAGGGTTGACATTCCTAAATGTCTAACCTAATGACTCGTATGAAAATGTTCTACCTGCTCAAGCTCTGCAATGTATTATCTGACACAGAGTGTTTCTTGGTTAATTAAGAAGACACATGCAAAAATAATAATATATTATTTTCCTCATTATATATAGGTATGCGTTGATGAAAAGAACATCTGGTTTTGCTCTCAACACCCAGCAAAGAGATGGCATTTTAGATAAGCCAATTACACCAGAACAGCTCTTCAGGCCTACAGTCTTTTATGATTCCTATGTCGAACTTAAATTTACAGTTTAGAGATTAACTAATGAGAAGTTACCATGGAGCAGCATTCGGGACAAAACAAACAGAATCCTGGGTGGTTTGTCAATGTTTTCACAGTTAGTGTGCTACGGAGGAGTGTGACCAAAACACTCATTACTAACACCTGTATCTGTGTCTGTTTTGACAGGCTTCATTTGACCATGGACAACAGCAGTTTGGGATTCCTCGGAGATGCAAACACATCTCTTCAGATTGAATTTCCATCCTGTATTACATTGAGGAACCAGGTCTCTCGCATTTTCCTATATGCCTTCCTCTCTGTTGGCATCGTCTGCACAGTAGTGGGAAACCTCCTTGTGGTGTTGTCCATCGCCTACTTCAAGCAGTTGCAGTCACCCACAAACTCCTTTGTCATGTCCCTGGCAGTGGCTGACTGCCTTGTTGGCCTGGTAGTGATGCCGTATAGTATGATTCGAACCGTGGAGGGATGCTGGTACTTTGGTGTCCTATTTTGTCAGCTTCACTCTAGCCTAGATGTCATGCTCTGCACTGCCTCTATATTCCATCTCAGTTGCATTGCCTTTGACCGCTACTATGCTGTCTGCAACTCGCTAGTTTACTCTTTAAAGATGTCCCGCAATCGGGTAGCTCTCCTTATTGTTATATGTTGGGCTGTTCCTACGCTCATCTCCTTTGGCCCCATAATGCTAGATCTCCATGTTGCCGGTGTGGACATCCTGCTTCCTAAAGATGTATGTGTGTTTTTGGTCAATCGCATTTATGCTGTCATGGCTTCTTTGGTAGCCTTTTACTTGCCGATGGCTATCATGTTAATAGCCTACTGGAAGATCTTCAAAGCTGCTAAACGGCAAGCCAGGCAGATCAGCGCCATGGAAAGCCAGATGGCTGCTGGAGTTGGCAAAGACTCAAGCAAGAAACGAAGACACCGAAACACAATGAAAAGGGAAAGGAAGGCAGCAAAAACTTTGGGTATCATCATGGGAGTTTTCCTTATCTTCTGGATGCCCTTTTTTACAGTCAACATTGTGGACCCGTTTATTGATTACAGCACGGAGGTGGTTGTCTGGGATACATTTTTATGGCTAGGATATATCAACTCATCTCTAAATCCCTTCCTGTATGGGTTCTTCAACCGTTCCTTCCGTAGGGCATTCCTGATGTTCATGGGCTGCAGGGTATGTCTGCCTGGATCCTCCCCTGGGATGGACCTGTCGCACACAAGGAAAGAGGCAAATGAACGTGCAGATTAACCTTAAAATAAAGATAGTATCTATACATTTTGTGTAGGCATACAAGGTGAACAGACACGGCAACATTTTTGTAAATCAATGTCACTTTTTAATTTGGTAAAACTAAGTTTTTTGTCAATATCATGGAAAATTTGTTTAAATCAGGAGGAATATTATTTCTACTATAAGAAATATCAGTGACGTGGCATTTTTTGACATATTTTGAAAATATTATCCTTGAAAAATGATTTTTCAATAATAATAAGGGTTCAAAAGGATCCAAGAGGATGCCAGAGCAGATAGGGCGTAGAAATTGCTACAATTGAAAATATTTATTTTTTTATTCAATCTACGTACTAGCGATTAGGAGGATCATAGAATAATGAATTCTCTGGAACTAAAACAAAAAAGGGCAAAGGTTTGGAAAATGTGCAAGACTTGAAGAGGCCACATCAAAGGGGTTGATGAAGCTATGATGACACAACAGAGCTTTACATCGCAGGTAAACACCTTATTGATACTTAAAATGAGAGCGGCCAGGCATATATTTTGATAAATGACATTTGAACTTTAAGTATCGTCACCTAACCTGGCTGTATTCCAGAGGTTGATATTAATATATGTAATACATACAATACGAATTCAAAGAGATGATTATTAATTTGTATTGTGATTGGTCTTTTCATGTCTCTCTGTCATTACTAAAAATGTGTATATTGTGATTTGGAACTCTTTCAGTGGGATCGAAGACCACAGTCGTCAAGCTGATCAAAACAGGAATGTCAGGTCTTCCGACAACTGCAGGACAATTAAAACATCCTCGTAAAAACCTGCAGATACAGAATAAAGGTGCACAAGTTTGAAGGTAAGTGTGCAAAATACAATGAAAGGCAAAGCAGAGATTTGACTGTACCTCTCATATTTACTCTGGGAATCTGTGTAATATAACTGTGGAGGAGGAGCAGTAAATGCAGTTGTTGAACAAGCCACGGCTTTGGGCAGGACCAGTGAGCAAAATTTGACAAAACAGCTTAGGATTCTTTGGTAAAATGAAAATTCGAGCCACTTTTTATTCCCAATCAAATATACAGTACATGTACTCAAATTGATCTACCAAGATGACAAATTACAAGTCAAAATGTGTCAGTTGTTTTATAGAAGGGTGAATCAAAACCAATTAGAAAGAGTACTGTATCCCTGTTAATTGCATCTCTAGACGTTTAAGAAAAAGTATATTTGCTGAGATATTGCATGCTTGACAAATGAGCAGTTTTCTGCCTTTTGTGATTCAGTGTTGATATAGCCTTTTACGTTATGAAAACAGCTCATACTCTAAGAAACCAATTTATTATTTAAATTTAAATATAGGTATTTGGCTAACTTCAATGTGTGGCACCCATCCAATTGGGCTTTTTGAGGCGAGAGTAAGGTGAAATTACAAAGATAGTCTTGCCTTGTACTTGTAGTTTTCTATTTTTCTAAATGAGGTTGTCTCTTGATTGTTCTTCTGAAAGGGTTGCTGTCTGAGAAAGGATAGACTGATTTCAGGAGTTGCAGCACAGTTTAGCGACACTAAAAATATCAGAAAGTAGTAGATCTCAAGATGTTGTGACAGAATGGCAGGTGGTGGACGATTGAGCGCATGCCTGTGTATGAGTGCTCTCAAGTTGCTTTTATTTTGTTATAACACATTTAAAAAAGAGAGTACACTATACAAGACTATAAAACAGTATAAAATGCATTATTTATTCTTAAATCAACATTTAGCATTAAGTTGGAATTCAAAGTTTGTCATGAAATAACTACAAATTGCATCTGCAATGATTAATCTCTAAGGCGTTTACACTTAAGTAAATTGATATGCTTATTTTAGAAACATGAAACAAATGTGTCCCATTACTTTGTCTCTACTTGCAACATGTTGCTCTTCTAATCTTGAATCTGGATTATGTTGTGGTATAATGACACACAATGCCTCCCGCATAGCACAAAATGCCTTAAATCAATCTACGAACATTGAGTAAGAAATGAATTGTTTATTTTGCACAAACTATGAATTCATTAATATCCAAAATGTTACGTATGTAAATGTTATGCAATGTAAATGTGAACAAGAAGTTTATGGTAGTGTATTTAAAGATTTTTAGGATATTGTGATAACAGTTTGGTGTGGGGCGAATGCATTTACCTTGGCAATTTGCTTCACAATATTGCACATGAGGTGAAGACCACCATTATTAGTACAATGGAATAACGTACTTTACACCAAACCACATCCATTATTAGGAACACTGCAGCATAACAGATACTGGATGCTAAGTTGGTGAGATGTTGTTCAGTGCTGGCAAATCAGTGTTTGGAGACATTTTAAACTGAAAAAACAATATTTCTTTTCAGGTTCAACACTTAATCTGGTCTGAGAAAGTGCTGCACTTTCATGGTGGACGCTAATAAGTGGGACGTTTTTTTGGTCTTGTTAGAGCAAGAATCTCCTTCTCCCTTCCTCTCTCTCTCTCTCTCTCTGTCTCTCATTCACTCTTTAGAATGAGTCCTGCAGTATATTTTCCCAAAACCTCATTTAGTGTGTAACTATAGTTATTTCTCTTTTGTTTTTGTGGGTCAGCACTGTGGATCTTTGTTTAGTCCTAAGGATATATTAGCTTCTGCTATTGCCTCTTCTTTTAATTTATAATCTAATCCTGCAAGGCACAGAGATAGTGCCCAGAATGCATCGTCATACTCAAAATAAAGTCAAAGACCAGACAGCTTTGTGCAAATGATAAACTTAGATGTTTATCTGCAGTCTGTTTATCTGCTCTAAACCATAGTCAAAGTCTTTCTTTGTCAAACTAATGCCAGTGCTGTCAGTATACACAATTAGGAGTCGAGGCAGTGGCGGTCTCTTTGGAAGGCTATTTTGCTTTGTGTAACTGTGCACACATTGCAGTGGGAGCCAGTACATTTTATCACTCCAGTTACAAGAATACTGTAGCTTTGATGGAGCTATGTTGTTTCGAGTCTGTTTTCTTATTGAGGAACAGAAGAGTGACTGAGTATAAACGGCAAAATATTTCGAAGGGCATTAATCAAAGAACACAACAAAGAGAATGTGAAGCATGACAACAAGCTATGCTTTTTTATTTGTGTATATTGAATTTGTATACTTTATGAGGTGTCAACCGATGAGAACTTTCTTCTATTTTCTTTCATCGCTTTCTTTCTCTTCATGGAGCTATTTTTTCTCTCTCATTTATGGTCATGATTACAGATTTTAAAAAGTATAAATTCAACTGTTTGACTTTCGCCTGGGTAAAAAAAAAGAACATTTGAATAAACTCATGGTGGAATGAGGATAATAACAGAAAGTAATTGAGATGTATTAGTCTTGATAGTGTCTCTACCTCTCTCTCTCTGTCTTTGTCTCTTTTACATTGCCTGCAGCTCAAGCCTTATGTGAATGTTGTCAATTTTTGTTTGTTTGTGTGTCAGGAGATTCCCACTACTCTGTTCACCTTGGGTGACACAGACAGATATTGATTTATTTCCATCAATTTTATTGCTAATTTGTCAAAACAAACACTATTTTGCTTCCCAAAAGCACAAGACTTAAAGGTGAAAATATGCAAGAGGTGAAACAAAAAGAACAATAGTGACATCTGCTGGATGAGGCAGATTGTATAAAAAAAATCAATGGCTCAAATACTTTTTATTTTATTTCTCATTTATATCTTACGTTAACAAACATAACATTAGAAAGTATCCCTAAAAAAGCATGTTTATCTCACATTAGCACTCACTTGGCAAAGAAATTACAGTTAAGTGGGCCAAGAGGACACATGGATTTATATTCAAATAAGTGTACATATCAATGCCAAGTTAACTTCTACATCCAACAGTTAGAATAAATACTGTGCAGCATCTTTATTCATAGGCGGACTCTTACCTTTACAATGCCTTGTCAAAACCCCCAGAATTGATGAAATATCATGATTCATTTTGACATATTACTTTTAATTAAACCCAAACATTCTCGTAACAACAAAAATGTTCCTTATAACTCTTATTTTGCTCTGTTAGAGTTTTCAAGATATTTGTTTCAATCCTTTACATTTGTATGTTCTTTTTTTCTCTGAAATCAGCTGAAATATAAATTTAATATATAAATTTAAAGAAATAAGCGGTAATATAGAGGCTAATGTTAAATGTCTTGCCGAAAGGGCGTATGCGTGTCAACTAGGCTGTGTAATGTCGATGCACAGTGCTTCCAAGTGACAGCAATTAAAGTAAGTCAAAGAATGTGGCTACTACTGTGTCCACTTAAATGGCAAGATTTGTCATCTATATAAATATGATGTGAGCGAGGGATTGAGAAAAACGTTTAGTCCTGTTTGGGCTGGGATCAAGCCATTGTTCTCAGTCTGCAGCTTTAATCAAGCTCGGACTCACAGATGTTTTGTGAACAAAAAAGTACGTCCCATGTCGGTCCAATATGGCGCTCTGAAAATGAATAAAAGATTCTCTGGTTGCCTCTTAAATGTCAGTCTCTTTAAGACCATAGCAGTCTTCCAGATCAACGAATTGATAACTGCTCTGCTCACAAGAGTTGTAAATCCCCATAGAGACTGTGTCTACTGTATCCATCCGACCCAATGCAGGTTTGGTTCCTTTTCCTGGCCCTCCCTTGATTTTATTTGACAGATTGTTCACTTTCTCTTTGAGCTGAAAAGAAGATGTTTGCAGAGGTGGAAACAGACTCCATCTCTTGAAACCTAGCGAGGGCCCTTTTCCCTTGTGAAACAAAGAGTTGCCACAGGATTCGTGCACAGCATAGCCGGGCTTACAGTCTCCCCTCTGATCCCTTGTCATTCCCTTGACAGCCGTCCGCCACCTGTGGTCATAGAAGCGACGCAGGACCCTCTGTCTTTGATGACACTGGCACCTGAGGAGCCGAGTGAATGCCCGCTGGAACTCTTTGCTGGAGCAGGGGTAGATCATGGGGTTGATGCAGCTGTTAAAGTAGCCCAGCCAGAAGACCACCTTAAACAACGTTTCTGATGGCTTCAGTGCTGGAAATAAGGCCCCTAAAAGGAGATGGATCCATACAAAATATTTGTGAGGAAACATACAGTAAATGCACAATACAAGAACAGTAAACTGCTGACATTGTTCTGTTAAAAATTCAAGAACATTTTCATAAGATATTTGTCAAAACCAAGACCTGTTGAAGCTCAATGTAGGTACAGTTAGATAAGTTGTATTCTCTTTTATGTATACCAAATGCTGTGATAAATAACAGATAAAGATTTTTGGCAAAATTATGCTGTATTTAATTTCGTCAATCTGGACTTTAATCAGTATAAAATATTTTTTAGTAATTTGAATAATTGTATCTTATATCAATAGTCTATTAATAAATAGTTTGTGTTTTTAAGAAGTTATACAGGAAAACGGAACCTGAATCTGAAACAAACAATGCACTATACCATTGTATTATGCTTGTGCTACATATACTGTATGTGTTTCAACCCTTTGACTGTAAGGTATTAACAGCATATTTTTTGAAGTGATTTGTTGTGTACCAGTAGTGATGGGAGGCTGTGACATTTTGTGGACTTTTATTCATGGGGACAGAGATTTACTGAGCATGTTTCAACCACAACTCCTTTCATGAGGCTTTTGCTGGAGTAGAACATGTGAGTTGTTTTGTTATTTGTGCAAAGTACTTGAATCCTTTCTTGAGTGATTTTAATTGATTAAAACATTTGTCTTCATTAACCAGACTGCTACCAACATAGGGCATTTAAATGTTCCTGTGGTGAATGCTTTCTCTGAGGGGATATAGTCTTGTCAGGCGTTTGAATGAGTCAGCACAGAAGTAGTGAAGCTCTACCCGATTCCACATGTAATTATGTCACCGCCTTAGCTTGTGCACAGGTTCATTCAAACCATGTCTTTGTCATTATGTCTGCATTATGAAAAATCCTGCCATGGACAACATTAAATATTCCAGTTATCAGCTTATTTTGGGATGGCAGAGCATTCAAATGTAACAGCTAAGATGTTTCCTTTTTAACTGCCTAAAGGCATTTAAAAAAATGGATTGACCGGTGGATTGCTCCCTCCAGGTGGGGACGGAGTGCCTACCTCAAGCGAAGGAGTTCAAGTATCTCGGGGTCTTGTTCACGAGTGAGGGTAAGATGGAGCGGGAGATCGACAGACGGATCGGTGTGGCTGCAGCAGTAAAGCAGGCGCTGCACCGGACCGTCTTGGTGAAGAGGGAGCTGAGCCGGAAGGCAAAGCTCTCAATTTACCACTCGGTCTACGTTCCTACCCTCACCTATGGTCACGAACTCTGGGTCGGGACCAAAAGGACAAGGTCGCGGCTACAAGCGGCCGAAATGAGCTTCCTCCGTAGGGTGGCCGGGCTCAGCCTTAGAGATAGGGTAAGGAGCTCGGTCATCAGGAGGGAGCTTGGAGCCGAGCCGCTACTCCTTCGCGTCGAAAGGAGTCAGCTGAGGTGGTTCGGGCATCTAATTAGGATGCCTCCTGGACGCCTCCCACTGGAGGTTTTCCAGGCACGTCCAACTGGGAAGAGACCCCGGGGAAGACCCAGAACACGCTGGAGGGATTAAATCTCCCAGCTGGCCTGGGAACGCCTCGGGATCCCCCAGAATGAGCTGGAACATGGTGCCGGTGAGAGGGAGGTCTGGGTCAGCCTGCTTGGCCTGTTGCCACCGCGACCCGACCCCGGATAAGCGGAGGAAAATGGATGGATGGATGGATTGAGGCTTTTTAAAGTTCTTCCAAATAACATTACAGAATGGTAATTTACCATTAATTAGATAAATGTTTTGCAATAAAAGGTCAGTTTTTTTTCTGCTTACGTTCAACCCAAGCCCTATAGCTGCTTTGCTCATTTTATCATACTTGCTATGGCAATTTTGGTGTGACATGAAATGACATGCTATTTTTCATGGAAAGCTGCCTTATCCTGTTGCAATTCCATGTTGTTCTTTTCTCCCCCTTGAATTTAACATAGTTGTTGACCCTGGACACAGAGGCCACATGTCACAGTGCTAATGTCTTTATGTGCCATTTATTCAGAGACAAAAACTGTATAATAAAACAGTTCTCTCTCTGACTTGTATGTTTTTCTGCAGCATGAACAATATTCTGTGTAGCTCCGGCTACCTGCCTCTTACTTTGCTTTCGTCTCGTCTGTAAGTCATTGACTCAACACTGTTAAAGACGGTGATTAGTGATAATCACTCCCTTTAATAAGTGATTAAAGGGAGTGATGTTATCCACTGGTTATTCTTACTGAAATGACATCACCTTAAAGGCAGACAGCAAGTGATTCAGTACCGTGACGCACTACCACTACACCATGATTTTTGTTTTATTGCCTATTAGATAACAGTATCTTTTAAAGTTCTGCTAGATGCAGACCGTCCTCCCCAACAAAACCCCAGTATAAGTCAGTAAACAGCTTAATGCAACGGATATTTACATTTATAGGAGAAAGTCAGGTAAGTGTTGTTTAAAGAGCAACAACGTATGTGTAAGGAGGAGCTCCAGGTGGGTGGAAAGAGTTTAGAGAATAATCTCCTTGACATTTGATGCTTCAAGGATGAAGCTATAGTTCAGTGAACACTTGCATAAACAATGGTATGCATTTATAGGGAGTCTTGTTGACCAAACGACATATTGTAATGATTAGCCATGAACTGTAAGATTACTATTCTTACCTATACTGATGGTATTTGATAATTTTCTTATTGTCAACAAATTCTATGAAAAAACTAAAAGAAACTATGAATTTGTCTTTCAAAACACTCTGCCCCAAGCACATTTGTTCCACCGAAGACATAAATCTTTAAAAACGTATCATGAATATGTTATTATTATTATTAAAGGCAAAACCATTTCCTCAGGAGTAGACAGTGATTATGTTGAGGACTAATTTCAGCTTCAAATTTGCTGTGGTAGTGTTTAAAGCAGCAGGAGGTGATGAATGACACTGCCCAGGTGCCTCATAATAAAGGAACACATCACTCAGAGAAACAGTGTGGCTAATTGATGTTGTTTTCTTTTTTATCATTTATGGACAACAAAGGAAGTCTCTAGCACAGAGAAATTAGGTTGATCAGGTCACAGAATACAATACTTGTTGGTCATATCAATTCATTGTTGGTTTTGGTCTTCTCATGGGATTTGTTGACAAATAGAAAAATATAGAATATCACCAGACTTACCCTTTAAAGAGAGAAAGCCTTGTGTTCTTCATGAACAAGTATAATACACCCACTCCCTCACCAGTCAGGTGAAACGCTCCTTTATTTATCAGCTTAGTTAAATACATGGTTTTGGGTTATTTTATATGTGTTCCTCGTCTAAATGTAGGATCCACTTTTGTTGATTAATACATTTGCTTCATTAAGTATGTTTTCATTCAAATATTTGTTTTATTGTTTCTTGTTTGCTTTGATTTCTAATAATTGTTCTCTCCGGGGTCCACTTCCGGTTGAGGATGGCGCTCTCATTAACATGCACACATGAATGCCCCTTGCTCCACCAGGTGTTGGTACTGTGCACTGTACCAAGCGGGACCTTGGGATGGGGGAGGAATTCATTTTGTATTCATTTATTTTTATTTCAGCCTTAGATAGAATCACTGTAGCTTGACATGTATGTTTTAAAGTTATTGTATCTTAATGCCTGAATGAAAATACTGATGTTACTAAAATTCCTACTAACTTTAATTGTCTGCCTAATTTTACCCTTACTGTTAGCAAAGTAGTTTTAACCAGGAAGTATTTAAAGTTTGTTTGAGTTATTCAGCCTTTTTTCTGTGTGCTGGGGATTCCTCCTTTGTGTCAGGGAGCGTCCTTTATTCTTGTATCAGTGCTATTTGTCTTATGTATACTAATTATTAAGTAAGAAACCATAAACCAAGTTCCTTTACTCTTGTGCTAATTTTGGTTCTCCAAACTTCCCATTACTGCCGGCTCACATCCTGATCAACAGGGTTTGAAATTTGCTCACCCTAAGTAAATTGTATGGGTCCTCATACAGCTCAAAGTAAAAATGTAAATCCATCGAAGCACAACTGAAGTAACAGTATAGAATGCACACCTTTAAAACAAAGAAAGTCAACTATGAACTGCAATGACTGGAAACTTGAAACATGCATGAATGTGTGACTTTATGCTGGTTGAATTTACGTCAGCCAAAAATAAAGGAAAAGCAGCAAATTATATATAGTTGAATAATTCATACTAAAAACTAAAATGTATATTCCCTGTGAGAGAAGTATTTCTGAAAGGCCATTTCTTTTTATTCCATCAGTTTCTGGTATTCATGAGTCTGGTGCACTAATATAAGCTAATTGTGTTCGGGCGCTCTCTGGAGCTTCAGATGAGTCAGACTACTCCATCGTCACAGAGAACGGGCCTGATTGGCACAGGAGGTGCTAAAAGTATGTTTGTCTCTCAGCAAAAGGTTAATGATGTCTCAACAATGTTCCAACATCGATCTCTCTGACTGACTGACCAAGTGTGGGTAAGCAGAGCTAAGAATTGTGTGTGGTGACTATTCCACACTCGTCAATCGGTCATGTAGGAAACAAACCTCAACAGAACAGATCATGCCAATTAGAGACCTCTACCATGTAAGCAACAATTTTAAACAACTCAATCTCCAAGATAATGATTCCTTTTGGCAGAGCTCCCTTTTTGTTTTCTCTTTTGAAATACATTTTCTTTAGCATAGTGCCAAACTAAGAATAATGGACTCTGCAGACTTAAGATCCTGGGTGATGTTTACCAGGTGCAGAGGCTGTGTAATATGTTTGTAAAAATTATATGAGATTGTGATGGTGTATTGATTTGTAGTCCACTAACAATGAGTCTCATTATTGTCCATGCTTATATTCAATCACAAGAGGAGATGGAGTATATATCCATCTTATACTTCTAGATACAAATATTGCCCTTTTCACTTCCATTGAATGAGTAAAGTTATGAGCAGCTTCCACTTAATTTCTTGCACCCTCTCTCTCCCTGGAAGCTTGACGGTAATTGTATTCAATAAATCTGGAGGTGCAGCAAGAATGAGAGGTCTGTAGGTGCTATATCTGATAAGACACTGGCCATTTGTTCATAATGGCTTTCACAATCAATTATGTGATATAGTATGCTAAATTAAAATTCATGAGGCCACCATAAGTGTGTGTTGTCAGGCTACTTTCTTAAAGTGCAGCTGTATATGCATGTTGCATCAGTTTGATATATGTAGAATCCATAATGACTTTCATTCATCATCCCCTCTGAAGGGCTTGTCTCATCCAATCTATACTGTGATCCGTTGCTTATTAACACCTATTGTTAGTCCTCAGTGTAAATACATTTTTTTAATGTTCAAATTAAACTGTAACCTTCCCCTGCAATGAAGATAATGAAACACAAAACCCTTCACAAACAAATATATTTATACATATATTAATTGTGTTACTATGTGAGACTCTCACTAAAACAGGCAGCCCACTGGAAATGGTACTTTAAATAGGCAGCTGTGATGGCTGCAACATGTTGGGAAAATTCTCATTAGTGTAGAATGTTAGTCTATTATGACTGCTCTTTTAAGAATGTTATATTAGCCATCTGAAAAAAATATGCTTGCAAAAAAAAATGACAGGCATGAAAAGAAGCCACATTAATAGTCAAGTTGCAGTTTTGACCTGCACTCACCAAAATATTTGATTTTAGAAATTCTTAGTTTTGATCACTTCCTGGCATAGTTTTTTTTAGAATAAACAGTGAATGAAATCCAACATGTACCGTTTTCTATTTTCTCTAATGCCTCAATCTTACTGCAGTTTATGTTGAACATTTTTATGAACTGTAGTTTATTGGTTTAATACTGTCAGCAAGTATATTACGTTGTATAAAGATCTACGCCGTTCTAAGGAGGAGCTACAGGCTGATACAGTTTAATCACAAGTGACGCGAATTCATAACTGATCACATTAAAATGAATTAACGTGAAAATATATCACTGCAAACGATTTACCTCATAATCAGCACTTGTTGAATTGTTATTTTAGTTCATTGAATTAATTTAATGTGCTAGAAATGTTAAGACATCAATTTGATGTCCTTGACAGAGATCATAGCCTCTACCAAGTTATAACCCTTTCTGCATGCATATATATATATATATATATATATATATATATATAAATATATACACTTTTTCTCTCGGATATATATTTATACTTATATTGTATATAGCGGTTAAATGTTTATACCTACATCCGTTCTACTTTTTTTTGTTGCTGCCCTTTTTTATTCTTTATACATATATTTTCTTGTTTATTGTAAATTTGTGTTTGTACATTGAGAGCGGAGTGGAAACCGGAGACAAATTCCATGTATGCGTATGCTGATTCTGATTCTGATACACCTACAGTGGAATAGACGCGCTGGGGAACATTTAACCACATAAGTCATAAGACATACATACCCATAGGCAGAAAGAAGAAAAAGGGCAGCCAACACAAGATGAACATCCCCACAACGATGGCGAGGGTTTTAGCAGCCTTTTTCTCCCTGGAGAACTTCATCAGCCGCACCGACAGCGAACTTCGAAACGGATGGTTTTTGTTGCTCTTTGAGCTGGTCGCGTCCTCCAGCACGCTGCGACAGTGTATCCGGAGGACCACTTCCATCGACTTATTTCTCTCTCGTTTGACGCCCGCTTCTAGGCTCTTAGTAGTCCTGCGGGCCACGACATAAACCCGAAAGTACATGATGAGAATGACCATGAGCGGGAGGTAGAAGGAGAAGAGAGAGGAGAAGAGCGCGTAGCCGGGCTCCTCTGTGATGCTGCAGATTCTGTCGTCCACAGGCGGCGGTTCCTTCCATCCCAGGAGTGGTCCAACAGAGATGACCGTAGATGACACCCAAACGAGCCCTAAAATAGCTATTGCCTTCTTCTCTGTCATAATAGTCGGGTATTTCAGGCAGTGTTTAACACCTATGTACCGGTCGATGGAGATGACGCAGAGGCTGAGGATGGATGCGGTGCAGCAGAGCACATCCACCGCTGCCCAGATGTTACAGAAAACCCGGCCAAACACCCAGCATCCCAGAACCTCTAGAGATGCAGAGAAAGGCAGCACGATAATGCTCAACAGCAGGTCTGCCATGGCTAAGTTGACAATGAAGAAGTTTGTGACCGTCTGCAAATGTTTATTGCATACAACGGACAGGATAACCAAAATGTTCCCAACAATTGCCACCGAAATAAAAACGAAGAGAAAGATCCCAACCCCGACAACCTGCGAGTCCACATTGAAGTTTGGGCATGTCGTGATGCTGTCGTTTGGAAATACTTGGTCCAGAACAGATCCATTGAAAGCTTCAGCCAAATAGATCCCATTGCTTTCGTTCCTCAAGTTGAAGTCAGTCATTTTGAAACGCCATAAAGAGAACTTTAGAGTAAGTTTCCTCAAGAAAGCAATGTGTCGTCAGACTCTATTTCCAGTAAAGCGGTCGTCTTTCGATTCAAGCGACTGATATCTAAAAAAACAAAAAGACCAAACAAAAGTCCATATGACTGCAGGCAAATGCATGCATCATTATGAAGCTGTTGTTTGAAAAAAATAATCTTACTCAAAAAACAATTGAGGCAACAAGAACAAAAACATCAAATGCATTTTTACGCATTTTGTCCTTGCGGTGGTTTTCCACGGTGGCATCCTTTGTTAAAAACTCCCCGATCACAGAGTCGGAACTGGTACAGCAGGTCTGAACCTACAGCTCCACCCACACGTCACATATTTACTGGTGCGTTCAAAGTCTCCACAATAGAGCAACACTTTAATTATGGGCACGGATTCCAGTTGTCCTGCCGCTTTATTTTTGTATTTTTTATCTGGCATGTTTTCATGAACGCGTCATAAGTGTTTACGATTGTTGTTTCAATGCATCTATCAGTCTTGTAATGCCCTCATGGAAAACTATCCGAAACAACCTCTCATCCACCCTTCAAATATAAGAAAAAGCAGCATCTGTCAGATCATCTTAACATCCACCATACACCAACAAGCCAGCTCTGATCACTGGAGTAAAAAAAACAAAAAAATAACTGAGTGCCTTCCTCAGGCGGAGTTATGAATTCTCATATTGACACAGCAGCTGCCATCCCAGGCCTTTTGTGCATATAGACAGGTCTGTACAAACCACCAGGAGCCTGGAGGAGAGAAGAGGTCAAAAGGAAAAGTCACAGAGCGGACAAACAATCCCTACATGGGAAAACATCAGCCCAGTGTGTTGTTACATACAGCAATGGTGAAAATAACAAATTCTTCATTTGCACTTGTTACTGTAACAAAGTTGTTTTATGTGTGCGTGTTTGTGTGTGTGGGCTTATTGGTGGGCTACTTTGGTCCATATACCATCTGGTCATTCAATTGTTCTAGATGCCGATAGCAAATCAAAGTCAATGAGGGAACAAGAGCGTTATTGTCTCCCCTCATACTATTCATAGAGCATCACAACATCACTGTCTAAACTTTCATGTTTAAATAAAATATCAATGAGGACAAAAAGTGTCATCGGTTAAATGCATGAAACGTTGCTTAAAATAATCTGCACACATTTTGGTTTTGTAACCTTAAAAAGGGATTACGATTATATTGATATATGTTTTTTTAAATTTTTCGTTGGCTAGATTAAATGGAATAATTAATCGATCGGATGAAATTTTACTCTACTTTACCACCACGAGCAGGTTATTGTGTTTCACTACGTGTTCAAGTCCTGATAAACTGCGTGAGAATGGAAGAGATGAAAGGAGTTTTAAATCAACAGCTGCAGCAGAGAAGAAGCTGCTGGTGTGTTTGCGCGGCCAAAGCTCCAGAGAGGAGACATTCTGCTTTCCGGGAAATTATATAAATGTTTGCATTCACAGTTTGAGTTCACAGGCCGGGCCTTGCCATGACTAGCAATGCAATCACAGTTAAATTAAGGATCCCATATGGGTTGTGATTTCAATTAGCATTTTTGTACTTCAGCACAAAAATGTTGCAAAATGTTGTATACATCTTAATTAATAACTGTTGCAATGCACAACCCACAACATTCCTGACCTTAACAGTCGGGGCACGCTGCATCTGGCGAACATGGTAAATGCTAACATGCTCATGTTAATCCCTGATTTGCAGTGGATTTGCTGAGCGCAGTGGACTGGTGATGCGGGACAAAGACTTCAAGTTGACTTGTTATACAGGGGAAAAAAGGCCGGGTGGACTGGTTTCATTATGCTTTCTCAATGAACGAGAAGAGAAGTGGAACTAGGAGCAGAGTGTGGAGGACCTTGCGGTGCCGTTAAGACAGGTGAGTGCAACAACACACTGCTGAACTCTCCGAAAGTCAACAATCGCATAATTGCTAAGCAACGTAGTTGTGTGTGCGGTCTCTCCTGTGCTGTAAACCTAATATTGTTGCATTTTTTGTGGAGTTTGTTGTTTTGTACATATCCACGTTATCTGCTGTAGAAATGTTTTATTCTACTGTTTATTCGAAGACAGGGGCGTTTATAGGATTCCAAGAAAGGGGGGCTTAGCCCCAAGGGGAGTGGCATGTTGGCAATTTTTTTTGGGGCCCATTTGGGGCCGCGGATATCCATTGTTTCAGACAGTTCATAGATTGGTTCAATCAGAAAGAGTGTGATTTTGCTCTGTAGTTTTGCTTGCATTCAGTATATCAGTGTTTTTCAACCTCTTCTGAGCCGCGGCACATTTTTTACATTAAAAAGATCCCGCGGCACACCAACAACCAAAAACGTTACAAAATGACACTTTTTAGCATAATACAGCATATATGCAGGGGTGTCAAACTCAATCCGAGGGAGGGACTACGTTGAGGGCCAAATCGAGTCACCATTTAATAAACAGGATAGAAGGGATATTGGACAAAGTGCAAAAAGAATACATGTTTAGGCAGGCTACATTATTTTATGCATACGTACCAGAGCCAGATGTCTGGCATCTTTTCTTGGCTGCCAGTTCATTAATATCTGGGGTTAGGTTCTGTGGAAACCCTCAAGATGGAGTGAAGGTGTGCATCAGTGAGACGACTCCTGTGTGGGTTTGTGTTCATCTTCATCACAGAGAACAGCTGCTCACACAGGTATGTGCTTCCAAACATGCAGAGCGTTTGAGCAGCATGTAGGCGGAGTTAAGGCATCGTTTCGGGGTGAAGCTTGGAAACTGTGCAGCGCCCACAGAGTCATACTTTGCCTTGAGTGTCATTACACTGGAGGTATATCAGCTCCACAGGTGCTCTTTCCACGTCAACTGCAAACGGATTGCTGAGCAGTTCAGATATAAATTTCTGAGCTGCAAAGTCGGCAAATCGCAGAGTGAACTCTGTGCCAAGTGCGCCCAGTTTATCAGTAAAATGCGCAGTCAGGAACACAGCGGTGGAGACTTTTATTGCATCACACATGCCTGTGATCACACGTCCCCGTCCGCAGTGAGATGCCGTTATGTTGCACCAAAAGCCAGCTCACATTGCCACTTTTCGTACCGGAGCTCTGTGGTGTGGCGGGCCAGTTATGATAAACATATGATATTTTCTGGCGGGCCGTTGTACCGAGGGCCGGATATATGCTGACAATTTAATGACAAGTCTCTCAATGTGTTGATCCTTACTAGGCTTTTCATCTGGGTTATTTTGATCAGTTCAGAGTCTGCATTTTTCCTTTTCAAATATTTCTCCATCGCTGCTCGTCTCGTCCCGCGCGTCATTTCATTCAATTGTCCTCAATTAACACGGTCATTACTGCGATACCTACTGCCACCCACTGTCATGGAAGAGTATTTATTACTTAGCCATCCACTATATTGCAGCTCAGACGCTCAACAATGGCAAAGTATTTGCAACAACTAAATAATATTTTTTTGGACTCATTAAGTGAAATTGGACATTTTCCCACGGTACACCCGAAGATCTCTCACGGCACACTGGTGTGCCGCGGCACAGCGGTTGAAAATCACTGCAGTATATGATAACACAAGAGACAGAATTTGAGGGTCATATTGCAATTTGACAACACAAATATGAACTTTTCTCAAATAAAGAGAGAGAAATAATGTTCCTGCTTGTTAAGGAAAGACGGATAAACTAGCTTTCATATCCGCGTCACTCCCAAATCCTAATTCTTAAAGGGACCGCACACAATGGATGGAGAATGGACCTGACAGTGTCAACTTTATATCGTTAAGTATGATGATAGGCTATTATATAAACCAGAACGCACGCACATATGTAGCATGTTAGAGTTATAAATAACTTGTCCATGTGAGAAATGACATCACCTTCAGCCCCCCTAAAATAGGCCTAACGACGCCCCTGTTCGAAGATAAGTTTCAGGCGCTGTGGTGTCCCTATAGCTTGTATTTTTTTTATCCATCACTTTTGTTTAATTTTCTGAGTTTTGTCTTTTTTGGGGTTAATTGTTGTGAGGCTACACTGAGGAAGTCACTTGTATATTTATATAACTGATAATCAGTTGTTTGCACAGACTACAGAGTGCAGAGAGCTCATCTGTTTGTTTGGACATAAGTGGTCTTGTTGCTAATGTTATATCATCAAACCCCCCCTCCCCCCTAATGACCTAATATTATTGTATCCAAGAAGTAAATCCAATTCCAGATTTACAGAAGACGGTACTATAGTTTCTGCTGATACTACACTGGTGTTGTTCACATAATGCTTATCATTCGCTGCTGATTGTGGTTTGCACATCATCTCTTATTATTTGATTTGAAAAGGAATTCAGGTTGTTCCCTGAGCTCGAGTGTACACATCAGAGTTACTTGCATATTCACTTAGAAACTACTCTAAATCAGTTACTGTAATAACAAGCAACATCGCTGGATAGTTAGATATGTTTTATTGAAAGAAAAACTTGGGTAAACCTTAACTGGTTGCATTTCAAACTCTTTTTGGCCACTTGGGGGCAGCAGAAACAAGGTGTGAACACACCACTGATATATCATCACCTTTTTGAGTTGATATGGCAAACTTGGTGATAGGGCTGAGCGATGACTATAGTAAAATGGCAATGATTAAAATGTCTCTATGATCTGCCTTTACAGATAACTCGTTAAAATTGCACTACAGTGCACATTCTAGCAGGTGCAGTTCTATGGCTCCAGTGTCTCTCCTGCATACAGCGGCGCAGCGCTGCTGCTAAATGATTAGCACTACTGCTAAATGATTAGCGCTGCTGCTATATAAAAATAACCCTGAGTGCAATAAATTAGCTATCTCTACTTTAAGCAGCCAAAGTAGTGGACGAGCGAGAATTATAGAGCGAACACCCTAAGACATTGTCTCCGTTTACTCTTTCCACACATGGAGCAGAGGAGAGACAGGTGAAGGGAAGATAACATTGTCTGTACTGGTTACAAACAGGCTCGGTGGTGACCAGCACACTAACGTGCTGACAGATTCTGTGTTTTTAGCTGAGCTCAACCAGAGAATATTTGGTGGAAACTGATTGGTGATGCTGTTTTGCCCTCCTTGGTCTCCTTGAAGTCTGCTGGAAGTGATGTAATACGGCCCAGTTTACTTTACTTTCTCCTATTTGGGAAATGCAAAATAAAAGTGCTTCACTGTTAATCTGATGTTAATTTTTACCCAACAAGTTATAGATGCCAGCACTTCAACCTCATAGCCATTGATTCATTTCATATTTATTATGCTGAAAGCCCGAACGGCAAACTACTTGGTGCATCCTGGA